TGCTGCCAAATGTATTGATCTCCACTAATGATGATGTATTAGTTTTATTTAAGCTTTAAATCAATAAATCTTCAAAACTACTGAACTGAAGCTCATGTATTTTACATCATTATAAAGGGAATTGAAAGACCTTTAAAATAAGGTATCACTCGACCCCCCTTTCCATTTAAGATTTTTGGGGTGGTGTCACCCCCGCTTAGGGGGCTGCACGTGCTAACGTGATTTTTTGCCAAACTTGTGTCCCCTCGAAAACAAAATCGACGGGTCTGAGCGTTTTTCAAAAAAAACCTGAGCTGCCAGTAAATGCGTGTTTCGTTTTCGGTGCGCCACCCTGTATAAATAAATGCATCGAAATATCCTGACCATAATCGTTAATATTGATTACCTCATCATAGGCACGGAGTTTAAATTCTACCTGGTAACCTGGTTAACAATTGCTGATGAAGACTGGCGCCCTAGCGCTTTTACGGCATACGGATACAGAACAGTATTTACTCATAGAATTGTGCTGCTGTATGGCTATCTAAGCGTTTCGTAAACGTGGCCGTTGGTTATTTGTTATTTTTGATCATATGATCACTCATTCAGCAAATAATAATTTTGTACATCAAGTATTTCTGTTTATAACTCTCGTGTCAGTTGATAATTTCGCATAAAATTATCTTCACCTTGAATGCTTGAGGTAGGATCGAATTGCTATATTTGCACAGTAACAATTTATCATTGATAAGCATTTTTATGAATAATTGTAATTCACTCTAGATATATGGTACGTCGAATAACGAACATTTTCATTAATTGAAAAAAATCGTTCACTGGAAACTTTTAACAACGAAGGACGTACATGGAAATTTTTATTTGAGAAACTGGTAAATCGGGAGAGTAGATCAGAGTGTATAAAAACTGCCTACTCTCTTATTCAAATATGACAGACGTTCGATAATTAATCGTTCTAAGTGGAAAAATTATAGGTTTTAGACGCTCTTTTGGCCCCTTTTTGTAATGTAGTACGAGGTCTGTAAATTAAGTGATGAGTCTGGCAACGTAGCGTTCGATCTGGCAACACTGGTCGCGCCGAGCTTGGACGGAAGACACGGGCACAGGGGAACATGTGATCCGCCTTTAGTACAAGTTTGTACCCGCTCGAGTAGCGATTTTTTTTCTGAAACAGTTTTTTCTAGAACGACATTAATTTTTAGCAACGTTGTGCTATCGGGTTTTGTTTCAGTCTTTGGCACATTGCAACGAAAACTCTTGCTAAACTTCAACAGGCCTTCGGAGATAGTGTTTTGTCAAGAGCCCATGTTTTTCGGCGGTTTATTGCATTTTCAGAAGGAAGAGAGTCGATTGAGGATGAACCACGAAGCGGAAGGCCTTCATCTTCAACAACCGATGAAAATATCGACAGAATCAGCCTCCTTATTCGCCTGGCTTGAGTCCTTGTGAATTTCTTCTTTTCCCAAAGTGGAAAAATCACCTCAAGGGATTTTGGGACAGTCGGAAACAGTCAAGCCGCTGTAACCGACCAGCTGAACGCTATTTCAGTATCGGAGTTATAACACTGCTATGAGGATTGGAAGAACCATCTCCAGCGCTGTGTGGCTTTAGAAGGAAGTTATTTTGATGGTCACAATATAAAATTGTAATTATATTTGGACGAAAAAATTAAAAAAATCAGTCTCACTACTTAATTTACAGACCTCGTATACTCGAGTGTGAAATAGACAGTCTATTTTGGGAACCACAAGAACCAGCAATATTCGTAGATAGTGCGCTTTTGAATCACTGAAAAATCCCCAAATCAGTTCATGTTTACATTTTTTGTTTACACGATTTTCAAAATTATCATTCACAACACACGCTGTTACAAAATCGACGCTGACCATTCTCTCGTTCCGTGGCCAAGATCAGATTTGTGATTGGCTGCCGTCAGCCGCGCCATATCTGCGGCTCACGCGCGTTTACGCTCTGTGTTTACTTATTTTCTTGTAATGATGACCGATAACGACCTTTAATGATAACGAAGGAAATCTATATGGTGCACCTATAGTGATCGACAGATCCGGCATGGGATATTTTGGTTTTGTAGTAGCATTGATTAACGTATTCTCCCTTAATATAGCCGACCGTGTAGTGGACTGCGGCGTCCACAAAAGAGTCTGTAGCATATTCAGCTTGTAATAATTTAAATGCGATTCCAGATTATGCAAAGCACAGGTCCAGGTCTGAAACTTAACGTTCAAGAACCAGGATTATCATTTTTAACACGCTTTTATTAGCTTGGCTTGTATGTACGAGCCCCTTCCCACTTCAGTTGGCCCAACTATTGGGATATTTAGTTTTTTCTTATCAAACACGAATAATAAAAATGCAGCAGGGTGTTATAGGTTCAAAATATTAACAATGAATATTTTGATAAGATATAGTAGAAAACTCCAACTTAATCACTCCCTAATCAAATTTGCAGCATAAAAATAACACATGTTGCAATTACAACATATCAACCTATTTTCATTTCAATGCAAAATAAGTCTATAACGCATAGGTGGCTGTGAAAAATAAAAGACATGACAATTGTTTTTATTAATCACAGCTGTCAGAATACGTTTAAAATAGTTTTAGGTAGTACAGGTTTTCAAAATGGGTAGAGGAAAGGTTATTAGTGAGAAAATTCGGTTACTGATAATTACATTTTTTAATTCTGGGAAATCAAACTCAGAAATTGCTACTTTGTTAGACTTATCGCGGTACAGTGTGAGAAATATTGTTAGAAGATATAACGTAACCGGTTCAGTTAATATTAAGATACGATATGTGAAAAAAAGTAATAATCATAAATGCCGACCGAGGAGCATTAAGAAGAATAATCGTGAAAAACAGGCGTGCCAATTATTTACAATTAAATGTTCTGTGGAGTGACGCTGTAGGAAGGAGAATTTCGAGGTCCACAACTCGTAGAGAGGCCCACAAACTGGGATTTAGCACTTGCAAGGTAAGTTTTCTTATAAAAAAAAGTGAAGTAAAAACCCTAAAGTTGCACAACTTGTTTATAGGCCAAAGAAAAGCTACTATTAACTCCACTGCAAAAGAAAAATCGGCTTAGATTGGCTAAAGAACATAGACAATGGACACCTCAACAATGGTGTGCAATACAATGGAGTGATGAGGCCCGATTCGAAGTTTGTGTTGGTGACAGTCGCAGTAGAGTTATTCGCAAAAAAATGAAGCATTCTATGTTGACTGTATGAAGAGAAAAGTGAAATTTCCAGCATCCATTATGGTCTGGGGCAGTATGTCATCAAAAGGAGTAGGAAAACATTTTAATGATGGAAATGTGGATACAAAGAAATATTTGGCAATTTTAGAAGAATCGCTTTTACCTGTGATGGAAGAATGTTTGACATCCGGCCAAGATTTTGTGTTTCAGCAAGATGGTGCAGCGTGCCATACCTCAAAAAAGGCTATAAAACGGATGGAAGAAGATAATGTACCACTTTTGAAATGGGTTTCTAGCAGTCCAGATCTGTCACCTATTGAAACTTTGTGGCACGAGATGAAAAAGGTTCTACGACAACATCCTGCTCGTACAATCACCGAACTGAGACAAAAGCTTCAAGAAATATGGGATTGTTTTACATCAAATTTTTGCCAAAACTTGGTTAACACTATGCCCCAAAGAATTTCAGCCGTAATAAAAAATAAAGGTGATGTTACCCAATGGTAATCTTTCAATTGTTGCTTTGTTGACTTCGCGCATTTATTCGCACAGTGTTTATTTGTTCAGATCTTCTATTAGTTATAGGTCGAAGTGATTTCAAATATGTATTTTTTACGACTAGAGTGTATCTAAAATGTTTTTGAGAAAATAAATTGTTTTAGAAGCAAATAATTTCGTCATGTTTAGTTTATAAAGGCATATTTTGGTACAAATCTTGAAGTTATCCAACTGAAGTTTGATCAACTCCAAACTTCACACACGTATAAAGGACCGATGACAATGCGGCGGCGGATCCGTTGATGATAACCGCGATGTTGCCAAATCTACCGTTTTCCAGAAACTGATAGCATTTTTGTTTTTCTTATGGAGTGGTATACATTTTATTCGATATTAAAAGGTATTGTTTTCTGTGACTAGAAAGAAGTTTGACATTTTAGCTCTGTTTACAGGTAACAAAATGTCACTTCTTATGAAATTACTTTTTCCCCGGGAATAAAATGAGTACTTTTTTCCTGGATATTGAATTCGCGGTTTCGTAAATTTTCCGCGATTTAGCTGGTAATGATTTTTGTTACGCTACTTTAGCTACTTCTACTAATTCTGGTGGAGTCAAAGAAAACTCGGAATCAGACATTTTTTACTTTATAGTATTAAAAATAACTTCTAAACAACCACAAGTTCACAATTTTTAAAGCAAATCACAAAATTAAATTGACAGCTATTTGATTACTTTAAAAGTTTCGTTAGCAACGCAGGTCTAATTGTCGCTATAAGTACAACATACAGCCTTGGCCAAAAGTATTGAGCACGCTCGATATCTTTAAATTCTAGGGGACCATTAAGTTGGGAGAAATTCACACAATTTTTTCTAGCTTTATATGGCTTAGTATTGAAAGAAAATCAATATTTTGTGGTACCACCCTTCGCCTTAATCACGGCAGAAATTCTTTTAGGTAAAGATCGTACAAGTTTATTACATTCTGCGTAAGTTAAAGCGTTCCATTCCTCACGTAGACGGCGCTTCAGGTCTTCTTTATTCTTGAATGTATGACGCCTGATCTTGCGCTTCAATAAGCCCCACAAATGTTCAATCGGGTTCAAGTCTGGTGACTGGGCTGGCCAATCCAGAAGCTCGATGCAGTTTTCTCTGAACCAAGCCATTGTCCGTGCAGCTTTATGGCAAGGCGCATTGTCCTGCTGAAATTTGACGCCATTCATGTTGGTATCGCCATAAAGTGCAGTAAACGACGGCAAAAGAGCATTTTCGAGTACGTTTATGTACTTTGTGGCATCCATGCGACCCTCACACACGAACATTTCTCCCACTCCTGAAGCACTCATGCAGCCCCAGACCATTACGCTACCGCCACCATGTTTCAAAGTAGGCACCACATACTCCTGATTGAATTCTTCTCCTACTCGACGACGAACAAATGTCACACCAGGTGTACCAAAAATCTGAAAAATGAAGAAATGTCATTAAGTAGTTGCTTAGTTGAATATTTTCTTCTTGTCATTTTGTTTCAAAAATTATTGTTACACCTCGTTACTGCATCAAATTAACCAACGTACCTCAAAGTTTGATTCGTCTGACCATACAATATTTGACCAATCCTCTTCAGTGAAGCTTTTGTATTTTAAAGCCCATTTATATCGAGCCTTTTTGTTTTTGTCTGAGAGCCATGGCTTCTTTCTAGCTTTGCGGCCATTTAGACCAACTTCTTGAAGCCTTCGGCGAACAGTTCGAGTAGAAATCGGTCTATTAATTTGCTCTGATAGTTCGGCAGCGAGGACCAAAGAAGTTTTTTTCCGATTTTTCAAAGATTCTCTCGTCAATATTCGGTCTTCGCGATCTGTAGTGATCCGTTTGCGGCCAGATCTTGGCCTATCTTTATGTGAACTGGTCTGAGAGAATCGCTGGATAGTGTATTGTACACATCGACGCGAGCACTTCACTGTTTTTGCAATGTCTACTTGGGACTTCCCTTGTTCATGGAGAACCTGTATTTTCGCACGTTTTTCAATGCTCAGTTCATTCGTTTTTGCCATATTACAAGAGTTGAACTCAGATTCTCGAAATAAAATCATCAATATTGCACTAAATCACTTGACTGTTCACAATGAGCGATAGCATCAAACTGATGAACACGCACTAAAAAGGTAAAACTGACTAGTCTCCAAAAAACTACGTGTTTTAACGAAAATAAGGAGATAAGAAATTATTTACAAACCGGTTTTGATACCTACAAATATTTGTATAACCATTAGTTTTTCTTTTCGTCTATCATTATAGCGTACGTGAAATATTTTCGGGGTGCTCAATACTTCTGGCCAAGGCAGTAGCTTGCTAATTTCAAAATTCAAATTTCACATCGATAATTTGCTGACATAAATATTGTAATAATATAATTTTTCAATATTAAATCGTCGTTTTTCCGTCACAGAAAAAAATTGTGTATTATACACGGGAAAATACTAGATTTTAGCTTTCGGTTTTTTTGTCTAATACAAGCTCAAGCTAAAATCTAGTACTTTTTTCCCTTGTATAATAAATAACTATTTTTCACCTAAGCAATGGAAAAATGGAAAATAATTTCCTGTCATTTCTGACATTGAAAAGTCCGTTGAGCTTTGTTGGTAGAGTTAATGAAAATATGATTTATTTAACTAAAATCAAGAGGATAGAAATTCTAATATTGATTAAACTAGAGTATTTGGTATTCCAAGGAAACAAGAGAAAAATCAAAAACAAAGAAAACGGTAAAACCTAGTTGTTAATTTAAACTTCAAAACAAGTTAAAAATCATAATAAATGTTTAAATTGCCGTCCATATACTTCTTGGCAAGAAGCTAGATATTGCGGAAATGCGTCTAGATCATTTTGAAGACATCCGCTTTCCTCGATTCTTCTGCATTCATTTTCTATTCGTTGTTTTAGTTCCTCCAAATCAAATGGTTTGGTTTTGTATACTACTTTTTCTAAGTGTCCCCACAAAAAATAATCGAGGGGTGTGAGGTCGGGAGACCGAGGTGGCCATTCAATTGTACCTCTTGTACCTATCCATCTTCCAAAAACTGTTTGATCCAAAAATTCGCGAATATTTCGAGCGTAATGCGGAGTTGCACCATCTTGTTGAAGCCATCTTCTATCATTGGCTACTCTTATTATTTACTAAAAGAAAACAATATTGATATTTTGCAAGATACATCTGTAAAAGATTTTTCCAGTTGTAAGATGATTTTTTCCTCTTAACTCCACTGCTCTACATTCGATTATCACTTATGTCACTATTCTTCTTGATTGAAATATATATAAAATGCAGAAATGTCTTTCAACGTACATTCTAATCCGTAAAATATCTCAATCTGGTTATATTAGTATAATGAATACTTCCTCTAGAGTCCAGTCTTATTCATATTGTATCTGGGTATATTGGGAATGATCTGGATATATACCGTCGTTAAAACGCGGTCTACAATTGATGGTATAAGTCAAATCCAAGCACTTTGTTATATGTGGTTCTCACCATAACCCTTGAGTACAATGTTTGTATAATGTTGTCTTTTATGGTTTGTAGTAATTACTTTTCAGGCTCATACGCCACGCTATTGTGGTAATAAAATGGATATACAAATAAAATCGTCTTTTAAGGGCAAATAGCTTTGGTTTTCCTGGTATTCTAGAGGGGCTATACAGTTTTCTCCTCGGGCAGTAGCGGACTTGAAAAACCAGTAACTTCTGTGTATACCCATTGACTGAGAGAAAATACTAAACCCTTTATGTATTGGGACGTTCACATACAATTTCCATCGTCACAGTTATTTTGTTGCAAGTGAGAAAAAATATTCCATTTTCCTTTTAAAGAAGCCTTCTATTGTGCGCACGTAGATAGAAAACTTCGCCACCTACCACTGGTTTCACCCAGTACCATCATCCACGTGCGATGCAGATGATTGAGATGCCCTTACGCTCGTGACGATCGTCAGTTTTTGTTTACGTTGCCTGCCTCTGTGACTAGACCTAAGACCTATACCGCACCGATGAGTTGCTGATATGCACGAAACAGCGCTGTCTGTGGTCGGTCATTGTCACAGAGATGGAAAGCAAACATGTCCTTTCTTTTATACCCAAACATTACATAAACCTGCCTAAAAAATAAATCCCATACTATGTGTGCGAGATGTGGCAACCCTGTCACCTAAAGACGGTGGTCGACACGTATACAGGGTGTCCGCAAAGTTGGGGTTGTCCTTTTCAGAAACAACTACCCTTGAAATAACAAAGGTAATGTGTAGTGAAACGAGGGCGATCAAGTAAAAAAAAATAAAGGAAAAAGTACTCACCCTCCAGTTGTCGAGAAGGGCTAAGTACGTCTCTGCCCGAAATCATACCGCTCCAACAGAAAATGAAATCAGCTGATGCGCTACCGAGCACACGCAGGCGGTGGTGCAGACCACGAACAGAGGTAACAAATGTGACGGCGTTGCCGCGTTTTCAGTTTTTAGGTAAACGTACTTTATAGGTATTGTTCGAAGTTATCGCCGTTTGATTCAAAAACACAGGTGCGTGCACGACGTAGCCAAGCATCGGTGCAGGCTTTGAGAATGGAGTCCCTCCCCCGAATGAAAGCACCAGCTTGTTCAATTCTGAGACTAAGTTCGTCAACCGTATGTACTTCAGTTTTGTACACTAAGCGTTTCATTTCTCCCCAAAGAAAAAAATCACATGGTGTTAAGTCTGGAGATCGCGGAGGCTACACTACGGGTCCATTACGTCCGATCCACCAATTCGGAAATAATTCATTCAAAAACTCATGCATTTCGCGTCTAAAATGGGGCGGTGCACCATCGTGCAGAAACCACATTTATTGTCTTACACTTAATGGCACATCTTCTAACAAGGAAGGCAAAATGTTGCGTAAAAAGTCTAGGTATTGCATCCCGTCCAATCGATTTGGGAGAATAAATGGTCCAATGAGCATACCGTTCACCATGCCAGCCCAAACATTCACCGAAAATGTTTGCTGAAAATGTGCCCGACGGACAGCGTGCGGATTTTCTACTGACCAAACATGAGTGTTGCGAAAGTTATTCACCCCATTACGCGTGAACGTAGATTCTTCTGTCACCAATATGCACTTCAAAAAGTCCGGATTATTGTCATGTTGATGCAACAACCACTCACAAAACCGCACTCTTGCTGGAAAATCGTCAGGTTGAAGGGCTTGTACACGTTGGACGTGAAACGGATACAGCCCCTCTTCACGCAGCGTTTACCACACTTCAGTTTTTGATACTTGCACTTCTCTAGCCACGTCTCTAGTGCTTGTTGAGGGATTCTCGTCTATGCGATTCAGTAGTTCTTCCTCAACTTGCACCATTCGTGGTTGTCCAGGCCTCCCACTGTGCCCACCTCGAAATTGCCTCCAAATGGCCCGTGTCCCTGACTCTCTGGACCAGGTACACAAATCTGCGGGGCCTTGGATGATGTCGTCTAGGGAAACGATCTGCATACACTCGCGAAGCCTCTGTAGCATTTTGAAGACATTCACCATAAATTAACAACATATCAACGAGTTCATTATTGGTGTATGATTGTGCCATTATTATTTTTTTTTTGAAACACAATCGATTATACGGGTTCGTTTACCTCTACACGCGTGACCGTAACCGTCGGTTGAAGGTTGCATACTGACCTGATACACTGACCCCGACCCAGTTCTGTCGTCGGGTTGAGCCAGTGACCTTGTACCACTCGGTGATGTCGCGGGTCGCGGCTACAGGACGGTATTCAGATATTTTTGATGTTGCAGAGCCCTTTATCTCGGTTCCCTTAAGACATAGGTGTATATGGTACTAAGAAAAATTGTTTATGTTTTCAAGATCTACACGTCGTGTAAAGAAAAACCCCAACTTTGCGGACACCCTGTATAATTGTACGCAAAGCCCGTTTTTTCCCAGACACAGATTTATTTTGTGTTGAGTATATGCAATATGTAAATGAATGACATAATTATCCTTCCGATTCTATTTGAAATCCATCCTTGATCCAGCCCTGTTAAATTGATAGTGTCGGCTTCTTTGAGTGATATGAATGAGTAACAAGTCATTGGTCTTCATCAGTTTTGAATCTGCTTTCGACTCACACAGTGTACCCGAAAATTAAGTAGGAACCGTTCAGTCATTAGACGAGTACCTTCCGTTTGAACTGCTTAAGTGTATTTCAACTAAAACTCAATAGATTTTTTATCGTAATTCGTTTAACATCTGCTTAGTGTTCAACTTTCCTCAAGTTGAATTAAGTTCTTGCTATAGTGTTAGTTTGTCAAGCAGTGCTGTATATTGAATTTCTCCAATCTCGGTGGTATTTGTGGTGAATTTTTTGAAAGTAGGATTGTTCATAATGCAGCAAAAAGCGGGTGGCGCGATGTTAGGTGGTACTTTGATAGTGATGGCTT